ATTGTTGTTTGGCGGGCCCGGGCTGGGGATTCGAACCCACCACCTTAGGTGTATGTGGCTGGTGCCTTAGCCGCTTGAGCCACAGGCGCCGAGCCAAGATGATGATTTTTATTTCTTATTTATTTATGTTTTTTTAGAGACAGAATCTCATTTTGTCCCCCTCAGTAGAGTGCTATGGCGTCACAGCTCACAGCAACCTCCAGCTCTTGGGCTTAGGTGATTCTCTTGCCTCAGCCTCCCGAGTAGCTGGGACTACAGGCGCCCGCCACAACACCTGACTATTTTTTTGTTGCAGTTTGGCCAGGGCGGGTTTGAACCCTCCACACCTTAGTATATGGGGCCAGCGCCCTACTCACTGAGCCACAGGTGCCACCCAAAGGTGATGATTTTTAAACCAATTTGTTCAGAGTTGATAGATTGAAGACTAGACAGAAGGATGCTGAAGGCCTGCTAACAACTCTTCAAAAACACAAAATCTTAGCTGCTTTCTGATTCTGGTTCCCCCATATCTTCAGACTATAGAGAACTCCGGTGCAATAGCCCATCCGCTATCCCTCATTAAGACACTTCCTTCATTTATAAAGTGTTTTCTTTTTTTCCCACTGTACAGTGATTTTTTGCTTGCGGGCATCTCGCCATAAAGACCAGGAGAATTAAATGAATGAGTGCAAATTGAGAGACAAATCCAAACACAATGCATCAGATAACATCTAGTGCTAGTACCAGAGACAGTACACCTGACACGTCTGTACTGAATTGGTGGTTTAGCAACTGAAACTTATTTACTTTGTTTGTTTGTTTATGAATGTTTGGAGCCAGAGTCTCACTCTGTTGCCATGCCTAAAGTGCAGGGGTGTGATCAGAGCTCACTGCAACTTCAAACTCCTAGGCTAAAGCCATCCTTCTGTCTTAGACTCCCTAGTTCATAGAACTACAGGCGCCTGCCATAACACCCACCTAATTTTTCTATTTTTAGCAAAGACCAGTGTTTCATTCTTGCTCAGCCAGGTCTTTTTTCTTTTCTTTTCTTTTCTTTTCTTGAGACAGAGTCTCAAGCTGTCACCCTGCGTAGAGTGCTGTGGCATCATAGTTCACAGCAACCTGCCACTCTTGGGCTCAAGCCATCCTCTTACCTCAGTTTTTCTATTTTTATTTTTATTTTTTTATTTATTTATTTATTTATTTATTTTTTTGAGACAGAGCCTCAAGCTATCCCCCTGGGCAGAGTGCCGTGGCATTACAGCTCACAGCAACCTCCAACTCCTGGGCTCAAGCGAGTCTGCTGCCTCCGCCTCCCAAGTAGCTGGG